CGCCGCTTGTGGGAAGCCGCCCGAGGTGAGCGCTGCCTGGATCCAGCACCCCAAAACCCCTCTTGCACCCCAACGCCCTGCCCTGAGCCCCCCCCCTGCACCCATACCCCCTTCCAGAGTCCTCACCCTGCACCCTCTCCCACGCTCCAATCCCCAGCCCCCTCCCACACACGCACTCCCTCCCAGAGTCTGCGCTCTGCACCCCCTTCCATGCCCCAACCCCCTCCTGCACCCAAACTCCCTCCCTCCTTTGGTAAGTATAACTCTTAGTTAACTGGAATTTTTGACTAACTGGCACCCCTCCCCAGATAAAGCTTTTCCTGTATTTTCATGCTCTTCTTTCTAAAGTACCTTCCAAAGAAGAAAATTCCAGCTTCATAGACCTGCTTGTATTTTGCTTAGAAAAGCAAACATACTACTTTGTTCTTTTAAATCACTTGGTACCATCTCTCCTCTCTTTCTTAAAAAAGAGGGCAATTTGGCCAACATCTGTATGTGTGTTGCAAACATAAGCTCATGAAGTTTTTCTGCACTAGGTTTTTCTTCCATTTCCCACCATTGTTGCTCCATTAGTGGTAGCAACAGTGACAGTGCAAGTTTAGATGAGGGTGAGACAACAGTGCACAGTTTACAAGAGTATTCAGAAGCTGGGAATGGGCGACAGGGGATGGATCACTTCATGATTACCTGTTCTGTTCATTCCCTCTGAGGCACCTGGCATTGGCCAATGTTGGAAGCTAGGATACTGGGCTAGATAGACCTTTGGTCAGGGAAACTGAGTCCCACCCCCTCTGCATGCAAACCATTGGAAAAACAAGGAAAAATAAGAAAATCTCCCACTTCGTCACACCCTGTATCGCCGTTCTTATGTTCACATTGTTGACTACCCACTGCAGATCATTTTAGGTTTTGACAGGGTAGATAAAAATAGATTTTGGGGGGCAAAAAAATCAGATTTTATAATTTAGGTAACAAAATATAACAATGGTTTTCTTTTTAAAAATGAATCTGTTTAAAATGAATCTGAATTTAATACAATATATGTTAAGGCCAAAACCTATAATCTCTTAAAACATTTATCTAAAAAAATATATGTTGAATCCATGAGCCCCTATTAATTTTAAGTTAAAGGCTGATTTTTTTATATAAAGAAATTAACAGGGCAAAAACATCTAAATTTTGAGGTCAAACTTTACAAATATGGCACAACAGATCATGTGCTGTGTCAAGGGCTTGTTTAAATAAAAATAAATTTGACATGTTTTGTAATAATAAGCAATATGTCATTCACCCTTTTCTAAAAAGTTAAAAATGTAAAATCAATAAAAATCTGAAAATATCAAACTATATATGACTGCTTAAATAACCTTCCTAGAGAGCAAAAACATGTACCAAATCTAGCGTAAAGACTCTACTTAGTTGTAAATCAGCATGTTTTAATCGTTATATCAAACAATGAGAATGCACCCTTCTTAAGAAAATAACCGAAGTACAAATGGAAAAGCTCCTTAACATTTATAAGTTAAATTGAGCCTTTCCACTTGGTGATTTAAAACAATCCACCCTAGGTTTTGAAGTTTATCTCTGTAAGCAAAAGGGCAAGAGACTCTTTAAAATTGAGGCTTAGGACTCCAATAGTTAGGGCCCTCCCAAATTCACAGTTCACTTTGTCAATTTCACGGCCACAGGATCTTAAAATCAGTGAATTTCATGATTTCAGATATTTATATCTGAAATTTCATGGTGTTGTAACCCTGGGGGTCCCGACCCAAAAGCAGATCATGGGGGGATCCCAAAGCTGTTGTAGGGGGGGGCTGCAGGATTGCCATACTTACTTCTGTGCTGCCTTGAGAGCCCAGCTCTGAAGGCAGCAGCTGCGGAGTTTACTATAATTTAGAACCCCCTTGTGCAATTAAACTTCAAATCTGTCAGAAAAAGTCTACCTCCACTCTCAAAATTAGCAAAAAGAAAAGGAGTACTTGTGGCACCTTAGAGACTAACAAATTTATTTGAGCATAAGCTTTCGTGAGCTACAGCTCACTTCATCGGATGCATTCCTAAATTCAGTGCCTTGCATAATGACGGGTTTCAGAGTAGCAGCCGTGTTAGTCTGTATTCACAAAAAGAAAAGGAGGACTTGTGGCACCTTAGAGACTAACACATTTATTTGAGCATAAGCTTTCGTGAGCGTCAGCATGCAGTGAGCTGTAGCTCACGAAAGCTTATGCTCAAATAAATGTGTTAGTCTCTAAGGTGCCACAAGTCCTCCTTTTCTTTTTGTGAATACAGACTAACACGGCTGCTACTCTGAAACCTCTCAAAATTAGGTTAGATCTGAGGCTATATTCCTTTGTTTGGAGATCTGAGAGAGGGGCCCAAACTCAAGAATGAAAACTCAGTTGGAACTACCTATGGAGTGGCTACTGCACAGAACGCAAAAAGAACCAAGGATCTGAAGTCTCACCGGGCTACTTTTGGCACGTTTTGTCCCGCTTCAAAGTGAAAGCAATGAGATGTGATCCTCTTGGGTGTTTCCACACACAGTTAAAAAAACAAACAAGTATGCAACATCTCCATGTCCTGTAGAGAGGGTGGGGGAAACACTGCATGAGTGGACTTTAAGGAGGAAAGGGTGGAACAAGTTTCAGAAACAGTCATACCCTTTATGTATGCAGAGAGAAGCCAGTAATTGAGAAATATGCCAGAGGGTAAATAGCAACATGTGCCAGTCTGGAATGTGGATAGCCCCCTAACAACCGTGCCAAGTCTTTAAGTGGTTTTAGTTGTACTGTGGGGAGGGATGGAGCGCACTCTCCGCGTCCAAGAAACCATTTTAAATATCCAACTACTATGCTCATTCTGCCTGAGGAAGGCTGTACTCTGCTTCCTCTGGAGCCTGACAATGCTGCTCCTAGGGTGCCTGCGGGTGTTTGTTGGAGAGAGAACCAAGATACCTTTACATCCTTGAGGAGAGGGTTGCTGAATTCAGGACCAGAGTTTACATCCTCCTGTGGCACAGCAGTAAGATCATGAAATAAAGCAACTGTCATTTGAAACAGAGGGAACAGTTACTGGTCTAAACCAGTGTTTGCTAATTAGTCAAAGACTAGAAAATCTTAAAATCCACACTACTGGACAGTCAAAGGTTTAATGGCCATCACTTGTCCCAAAGGCAGTGCCTGTCTACACTGCCACTTTACAGCGCTGCAACTTTCTTGCTCAGGGGTGTGCAAAAACACCCCCTTGAGCGCTGCAAGTTTCAGAGCTGTAAAGTGGCAGTGTAGACAGTGCTGATAGCTACTCCCCTCATGGGGGTGGTTTTATTACAGCACGGCAGCACGTTAACGTTGCTAGTGAAGAAATACCCTTGGACTTTTTTTTTGGTAAAGTGGCAGCAACAGCAGGGGCACTCGTATAGACAGCATTTTTACTGCTTTGTTAATGCTGCTTAGAACAGCTCTAGATGACATTGTGACAAAGATGTTAGTGCCCTGTCTACACTAGAGCTTCTACCATTGCTACCACTCTGGGAGATTTCCCAAAGTAGTTTAGTGCAGACAAATCCATAAGCGATGGGCAAGAGGAAGAGAAGAAGGTGGAAAGATTATAAAGCCTGTGCAATAAATGCTAAACAAAGGATACATAGGTCAACAGATCACAAAGGCTTGAGTGATTGTTTGGAATGTAAACTAAAGGCCTTTTTAAAAAGTTAACTTGCATAAAATCTCCCCACTGTATTTTCCACTACATGCATCCAATGAAGTGAGCTGTAGCTCACGAAAGCTTATGCTCAAATAAATGTGTTAGTCTCTCAGGTGCCACAAGTCCTCCTTTTCTTTTTGCGGATACAGACTAACATGACTGCTACTCTGAAACCAGGCTAGAGAGGTGTTTGCTTTGGCCTATTATTAGGAGACCCAACCCCATTCCTGTAAAAGGAGAAAGGCACTCAGTAACACCCCACCCAGTGATACTGCAAGAATTAGTGTCTGTGAAGTGCTCCGAAGATGCAAGGTGGAGATGTGTGTAAGTGCTAAGTATCTGCCCCTTTGTCTCCCAGGGGTAGCTACCTGCCACAACCCCATTGTTATTACTACTAGCCTCCATCACCAGGTTTAGCAATGGCATTCAGAGCTCCTTCCAGCTCCTGTCAACACCATTTCTGGTTCAGCTCGAGCTAGTAAAGAGAAGAGACCAGGACTTCAGAGGCGATGGATGTTAAACAGCAGTGACAAACACCCTCACACCCTGGTAAACAGAGACAGGACTAGCGAATCTTTGCCTTGGCTTCCCAGAGGTGGAGCCGCTTCCTAAAACAAGCCCGATGATAATTTACACTCCCACAGCACCGGGCCTCCTCCTGCAGGGTCCCAAAGCACCCTGAGGAGTGGTCTCTGCACACAGCCAGGCTACTCCCCCCACCCGGGACCCCAGTTTCGGCAGAGCAGCGCGGGCGGGGGGGGGGGGTGGGAAGCACCCCGCCGAGCGTCGCCCGATCGCCTGCCCTCAGCACCAGACCCCTGGGCATCCCCAGCAAGGGCCCCACAAGCGAAGTGTTTGCAAACCCCAGCCCCGGTTACAGAGGCGAGCCCCCACCCCGCCCCTGCACCCCCCGCCCAAGAAAGGGGGGGAGGGAAGGGGGCGGAGAGTCACATCTTCCCCCCCAGGCTCCGGGAGCAGAGCCACGCGGTAGTGGACGAGCCAGCTCCCGCTCAGCGACCCCCCCCCCGCCACAGGGGCCTCAGCCCCCAGCGCCCCCCAGGTCTCCACACAGCGGGTCCCTCCTCCCTTCCCCCGCCCCTTTGGGAGGTTACAGGCCCGCCCCTCCCCCGCTTCCCCTCAGGCGTGCGCCCCCCCCTTACCCGCGATGCCGGCGCTGCTGCTGCTGCTGCCCCCAGACTCGGGGCCGGCCGACGCCATCTTGGAGCTTCTCCCTGCTCCACTGGCCGCCGGCAGCTCCTCCTTCCCCCCGGGGGCCCCTCACTTGGTGCCGCCCGCCCGCTCCGCTCTGCCCGCGGTTCAGGACCGCACCATTCGGGCTTAGACAGGGTGGGTTGCTCCCCCCGACTTGGACTCGCCCGGCTGGCACCGGACCGAACCACTCAGCGCGGATGGGAGGGGACGGTGAGGAGATGCCGGGCTTCGGCCACCGCCTGTTTTTGCTAAACTCGGGGAGCTGGGCGCCCCTTGGGCTGGCTACAGCGCATGCGCACCGAGGGAGGGGGCGGCTGAAGCCATAGTGGAGGCCGCCATGGGTCACATGACAGTGGAGGAGGGCACAAAAACAATGATAACCCCCTTCCAGTTGGATGTCAAGGGGTGGGCCTGGCACATCATGGTGATACTGGAATGTTGCCATGGTAACATAACATGGCTTGTCATGACTTCATTTGTGTTGCCAGGATGCTTCAACCTCACTCCGTTGCCAGGGCGTCTTATGTCCTGATCTCATTGTCACATCATGTGTAGCACCCCACGTCCTGACCTCATCGGGTCATAGCACCAGGTGTCCTGACCTCATCGTGGCACCTCACATCTTGACCTCCCCGCGTCGCCACAACTTATCATGTCCCTCCTTCTCCAGATCATCCCAGCCGCATACATCCTGACCTTATCCCGCTGTCATTGAGTGATGTGCTGACCTCACTGCATCAACATATCGTGCCATGACCTCACCACCACATTGCCATGATGTCACGTTGCCTTGGCGTGTTACATCCTGACCTCGTCGTGTCACTAGCTGAGTTGAGAGATCTGGGATTTGCAGTTTATAAGAATGAATTTTCTACTTGGTAAGAGTCTAATTTTATTTCATAGTGGAAGATACTAAATTTCCATGCCTGATGTATAATTTTTGGACCAAATTGTATGTTAAGTCAAGTTCATCAACAACAGTTTAATGGTGTATTGCTGTCATTGGCCCTCCAAGTACAGCAAGTCAAAAGGAGGAGATTTCATATATTGTACTGCTTTAGATACAGAAAAGGAGTACTTGTGGCACCTTAGAGACTAACCAATTTATTTGAGCATGAGCTTTCGTGAGCTACAGCTCACTTCATCAGATGCATACTGTGGAAACTGCAGCAGACTTTATATATACACAGAGAATATGAAACAATACCTCCTCCCACCCCACTGTCCTGCTGGTAATAGCTTATCTAAAGTGATCATCAGGTGGGCCATTTCCAGCACAAATCCAGGTTTTCTCACCCTCCACCCCCCCACACAAATTCACTCTCCTGCTGGTGCTAGCCCATCCAAAGTGACAACTCTTTACATAATCAAGTCGGGCTATTTCCTGCACAAATCCAGGTTACAAATCCAGATACAGAGTTCACCAAGAGCAATCAGAGACTCAGTAACCCCAACCAGTTTAAAACAAAGGGAGTAAATACCATTTCACCTAAAACACTTCCTCTATTACATCCTCATCTACCACATTGCCATGGGAGGTCAAATCATCACATCACATCTAAACCTCTCCATGCTGCTGCGTCATGTCGTGTCCTGGCGCTATCGCTTTGCGACGTGTCACCAAGTCATGTGCTGACCTCGCTAAGATTTTGTCATGGGTATTTTTAGTAAAAGTCATGGACAGGATGCGGGCAGTAAACAATAAATCATGGAAGCCCCAGCCCTGTAGCGCGGAACTGGAGCCGAAGCTCCGGGGTGCATGGCTGACAGCCGGAGCCCCGCCACGCACGGACGCACGGGGCTGAAGCTGAAGCCAAAAAAGTCACAGAGATCTGTTAATGTCACAGAATCCATGACATCTGTGACGAAGTCAAATCTTTGGAATTGCAGCACCATTTTGCCATGAGAAACGTAACCATGTTGCATCCCAAGGCAAGCGCTTAGCACATCTTGACACCACAACAGTACAGCATGGACCTTTGGCTGATGCTGTCATGTGCTGGCAAAAACTACATCATGTTGCATTGCTCGGCAATGGCCCTTTGTCACATCAGGATATTCTGATACTTAATCGTGGTCTTTTGGATGACATCATATTGCATCACTGGCCAGTCTGACATGTTGTCATGCCAAGACAAGAGTGTTTATGCAGGGTATTATGCCATCTGCCTGACCACACCAGCTTGTCACAATACTACATGACAGCCCCTGTGGGTCAGCGCTGCCATGTTGCAACACAGCAAGACGTAATGTTTGCAACACTAACTGTTTGTGTTTTAACGCAAAGTTGTCACATTATGGCAAGTCATCATGCCACGATGCCATGTTAGTGTATTTTGGCCCAGTTTCATCATGGACCACAGCCAGGGGATGGCCTCTAGAGTTCAATGTGGTTATGTTGCATTGTGGCCTGTCATCTTGCCATGCAATTCTGGCATGTCACCTTTTGATGCAAAGTTCTTCTTGGTGCATCATGCTGTCCCAATGCCTTGATGGTGTCTTGGTGCAATGTCAAGATCCTCAGGCTGTAGCGTCATCTTGCAATGCCAGGTGAAAGCACTCTGCAATGTCCAGATAGCACTGAAAATCTCTTGACTCAAAAGTAAAGGGGTCCTCCTGAGTAAATCTGGATGATCAAATCTGCCTTCCCAAATCCTCACTGCAGTTTCACTTGGTTATGAGATTCTTCTTCACTTCCTGTCATGTAGCATTGCCGTGAGCTGTTAAACAGCTGCTGCATTCCACCCCAGAGCTGATTGCATTCAATGATGAAGGCAATAATTCAAGATTGCAAAGAATTTGGGGATGAACAATTCCTTGTAGGTGCAATAGATTATACAACACTATCTTTGACAGAGAGGCATGCCTTAGTTATCTGAGCACAGAAGTAGCGAACTCCTGAGTTCTAGTTTCAGCTGTGACATTGATTCCATCTCTGGCCTTGGGCAAGTCACTTAACCTCTCTGCCTTATTCTCACTTCTTGTAAAGTGTGGATAATAACACATGTTAGGGGGCTTATTCCTTCACCCACTTACTTCCCTGGTCCTTCTCGCATGAACAGAGAGCAACAATACCCGAAGTCCAAAGGTGCAAACAATTCCATGTTTATTGGGGTGAACTTCCAGCAAACATGAATACAGTTTCCTTCCTTAGTGTCCCCCCTTCCCAGCTCTGACACCACAGAGCCTTACAGCTGTGTCCCTGTTCCCATTCCTGCCCTTAGCCAAACATGATTTCAATTTCCTTACCAAAAAGAAAAGGAGTACTTGTGGCACCTTAGAGACTAACCAATTTATTTGAGCATAAGCTGTAGCTCACGAAAGCTTATGCTCAAATAAATTGGTTAGTCTCTAAGGTGCCACAAGTATTCCTTTTCTTTTTGCGAATACAGACTAACATGGCTGTTACTCTGAAATTTCCTTACTCCCATTCCCTGTTCCCACTGCCCCCTTTAGCAAAACATGATTCCAATTTCCTTACCCCCATTCCCTGTTCCCATCTCCCCCAGTCACACCCCCCCCCCACTTCCTGATTGACTGCAGACTATCTAGTAAAACTTGCAAAAAGAAAAGGAGTATTTGTGGCACCTTAGAGACTAACCAATTTATTTGAGCATAAGCTTTAAATTGGTTAGTCTCTAAGGTGCCACAAGTACTCCTTTTCTTTTTGCGAATACAGACTAACAGGGCTGTTACTCTGAAACCTAGTAAACCTTGAGTTCTGCTTAGCTATACCTTAACCAATCATTTTCCTGAAATTTAACTAACCAATCCGAGCATATTGTAACATGATTATGTAACCAATTATATCCCACCGCCTTAATTAGTTTACACCCAGCAAAATTAATTATACAGCAGACAGGAACAATCACAGAACCAGACAGAGATTATACAGACAACAATAGCAAAGTGGGAACTATAATGACAAAACAATACAGAAGTGAGGATTTCACATCCCAGCTATTGAGAAGTGAGTTCTTGCCAGACAGGATGCTATCAAACTAAGTTTCCTTTTACATTTTCTAGGCGAAAAGAAAAGGAGTACTTGTGGCACCTTAGAGACTAACCAATTTATTTGAGCCAAACATGATTTCAATTTCCTTACCAAAAAGAAAAGGAGTACTTGTGGCACCTTAGAGACTAACCAATTTATTTGAGCATAAGCTGTAGCTCACGAAAGCTCATGCTCAAATAAATTGGTTAGTCTCTAAGGTGCCACAAGTACTCCTTTTCTTTTTGCGAATACAGACTAACACGGCTGTTCCTCTGAAACCTGTCATTTTCTAGGCACTTCCCTTTCTCTGGAGGCGATCGGCATTATCAGGACAGGATTGTATTCGTAACAGCCCAATAGCACCTTATTTCAGTGTGACTAGTTTGGAATATAAGGATGTGACCATTGGCTTCCCAGCTTATGGCTGCCTCTGCTGCTTAGCCAAAGGCCTTAGCCTAAGAACAGGCCTCAGACTGTCACAGTAAGAGAAGGACCTTACACTGGCAGACAGTGATTTTGATTCTTTCTTTTATACCTCTATAACTAGCCAAGTGATAAGAATACACCTAAATTCTTCGAGTACAGGCCTTTACCGACAGGCCTGAATATCTATATCCTAACAACACATTATTATCCCTAACCCCTATACAGCATGGGCAGGAGGGAATTGTTAATTAATGGACATTCATGAAGCGCTATGGAGGTCAGAAATGCCATGCATTATTTGTAACTGAGTCAGTGTGATAAGGGAAACCCCATGTTCACATGGATAAGACCCTCTGCTGTGAAAACAGAATGGGACTTTTGCAGCTGCTAGGAGAGTCCTTGTTTTGAAAGCTCCCTGTCAAATTAAGCACTGCTTTATTTTAACTGGTGACTCAGATAGGCTACCAGCCTTGAAACAAAGCATTGCATTACACCCCTGTCCTTTCCAATCTGTCAGCTCGGCTAACCGATCCTATCATTGCCCACATCAGGGTAATAATAGGTCTGTTTGGGATGACCCTGTGGGCAGGCATTAGAAAGCTTCTGCCACCTACAGGCAAAACATGAGAGCTGGCTGTCAGGGCTCCACATCACAGAAGGAATGACAGCTGCTGTGGGCATTTCAGACAGATCCAATCTTCTCATCTTTAGCAACAATCACCAAAGAAAAGATAGCTTGGCCCAGTGAATTCAGGAGCATTTCTACTAATCTTGATTCCATAAGAAGACTGCTTAAATGCGATGTAACAAGAATATAGTCAAACTGTCGACAGGCCAGTCCTTTAACAGGTGACAATGAATAAACCATGGGGCAATTGTAATTATTTTACATGTCAAGTGATATTTCTATATTACAAAATCCAGACTCCGGGATGTTTTTTTGGTTGTTTCTTTCCACTTCTTCAACACTAATTTAAACCTGGTAATTCTCAGCTCATAGTAATTATGAGAAAATCAAATTCCATCTGCTGCCCTGAGGCAAATCAGGAGAAAACTCCCAACTTGGACTACAATCTGCATCCTGCAGGCAGCTGTATGCAGACAGGCTCCTGCGCCCTCAGGGAGCCCTTTGTCTTCAAGAGGCCCTGTGTAGGGGGCTTGCAGGCCCCACACTGTCCTGATTGACGGCTGTTATTTTTAAGTCGAGTTCATTTCCTCTTGTGAGCTGGTCATTCTAGCTGCCCTGTTCACAGGTGGTGATACCAGTTTCCCATTGTTGCTTTGCCTGTGATAGCAGGTCTGTCTTGGAGGAGACTTCGCAAAGAATAAGAATTGTACTTTGACTTTACATGGACCAAGTACTGTGCAGACATTACTTAATTCACCCTGGTTCATCCCCCGGGGAGGTGGAGCCTTACCATTATTCCCACGTCGCCCATGTGAGTTCTAGTCCCATCTCTACCACAGACTTGTGGTGTAACTTTGGGGAAGTCATGTCCCCTGCTCTGTGCCTCAGTTTCCCTATCTGTAAAATGCGGGCAATAATAACTACCCGACATCGGGGCTGTCAGGGTTAATTTGAGATAATAAAATAATAGGAATTTGGGGCTATAAGGGACCTTAAGAGGCCATCTAATCCATCGCCCCCACCGTCTGCTGAGGCAGAGTTAGGTATACCTACACCACCCTGAGAGGTGTTTGTCTAACCTATTCTTAAAAACCTCCAGTGACGGGGATTCCACAACCTCCCTTGGAAGCTAATTCCAGTGCTTAACTATCCTTAGAGTTTGAAAGTTTCCTGATATCTAACCTGAATCTCTCTTATGCAAACTAAAAGGATTATTTCTTGTCCTATTCTCAGGGACATGGAGAACGGAGAACAATCCTTGGGTGGAAGGTGCTATAGACATGCTAATGATCCTGTTTATCTGACCTGGATTTCCAGGTAGGCTTCTGTCTCCAGGCCTAGTGACCACCAAACGTACCTAAGTAATGAACTCCTTCTAATGAGGCGAACTCTCACTGCTACAACTGCACAGTGAACCACTCAATTTCCTGTTTTTGTCAGAGCATGTTTCATCCCATGGACTCTTGCTCTTAGTCATGTTAGTATTAAAAGGACACTGAAATTCTTTCCTGGTTTTTATTGTCTTCTTTAGATAGCCAAATATTGACTTGTGAAATTCAAGAGGGGTCAGGATTTCACTGTTTCTGGAAACTGACTCATTCCCGTGGTGTCAAGCCTGACCTCCTTTAGAAAATTACACCTTGCACCAGTTATTTACCCATGAAAAGTCCCCTGATAATGCTATGTCTAAAACCCTCTCCCAGATGCAGTTAGCCATTCTTCAGTCCTTTCTTGAAATGTAATTCTCCCAGACATGGGAGCGGGCAACAGGAGGGCCAAAGAGCCATTGCCCCATACTTTTTAAACAGGGGGGCCATGCTGCCCACTGTTGAGAACCTGAACTTGGCAGCAGGGGTACATTGCGAGCAGTGGGCAGGGGTCCTTCTTACTTCTTCAGGGGTCCTTTTTACTGCCCCGCTTTGACCTCTGATCAGAATTGGATTGCATAAAGTCAGAACCCCTTCCCTTGGCCCAGCCATCCCATCGGCATGACGGAGGGGTGGCTGGGCCAAATGTGAGTGGCATTGAGACCCTGTGCCCCAGGTTTCAAAACCACTCACTCATATTTGGCTGTCCCTCCCTTCAACTTCTGCTGTCCTTCTGGCACCATTGCTCTCCTCAGACCTATACCTCGAGTCTCCCCTGCAGATATGCACTCATGGATTCAGTGACTGAAACTTCAGATACAAATAACACAGATTAAAAAATCCAGGCAGAAACCATGCAACCACCAGGACTGGTGCTAAACATTTCATTCCATAGGAACGTAGGGAAATGTCTCATTGGATCAGACTTGAAGTCCACCTGTCCAGTAATGCCCAGCATCAGCTACTTCAGAGGAAGATGTAAGAATCCCACAGCAGCAGATGTGGGATAATGTGCCCCTCACAGTAGATCTCATCCTGGTCTCTGTGGGTATGTCTACACTCCAAAAAACAAAACAAAACCAGCAAGTGGGTTTCAAATCAGTGGGTTCTGATCATCAGAGATGGCCAGCCCTCTGTGGAAATAGAGGTGGTTAGGGACTATTTAGAAAAGCTGGACGTGCACAAGTCCATGGGGCCGGACGAGTTGCATCCGAGAGTGCTGAAGGAATTGGCGGCTGTGATTGCAGAGCCATTGGCCATTATCTTTGAAAACTCGTGGCGAACGGGGTAAGTCCCGGATGACTGGAAAAAGGCTAATGTAGTGCCAATCTTTAAAAAAGGGAAGAAGGAGGATCCTGGGAACTACAGGCCAGTCAGCCTCACCTCAGTCCCTGGAAAAATCATGGAGCAGGTCCTCATAGAATCAATCCTGAAGCACTTGCATGAGAGGAAAGTGATCAGGAACAGCCAGCATGGATTCACCAAGGGAAGGTCATGCCTGACTAATCTAATCGCCTTTTATGATGAGATTACTGGTTCTGTGGATGAAGGGAAAGCAGTGGATGTATTGTTTCTTGACTTTAGCAAAGCTTTTGACACGGTCTCCCACAGTATTCTTGTCAGCAAGTTAAGGAAGTATGGGCTGGAAGAATGCACTATAAGGTGGGTAGAAAGCTGGCTAGATTGTCGGGCTCAACGGGTAGTTATCAATGGCTCCATGTCTAGTTGGCAGCCGGTATCAAGTGGAGTGCCCCAAGGGTCGGTCCTGGGGCCGGTTTTGTTCAATATCTTCATAAATGATCTGGAGGATGGTGTGGATTGCACTCTCAGCAAATTTGCGGATGATACTAAACTGGGAGGAGTGGTAGATACGCTGGAGGGGAGGGATAGGATACAGAAGGACCTAGACAAATTGGAGGATTGGGCCAAAAGAAATCTGATGAGGTTCAATAAGGATAAGTGCAGGGTCCTGCACTTAGGACGGAAGAACCCAATGCACAGCTACAGACTAGGGACCGAATGGCTAGGCAGCAGTTCTGCGGAAAAGGACCTAGGGGTGACAGTGGACAAGAAGCTGGATATGAGTCAGCAGTGTGCCCTTGTTGCCAAGGAGGCCAATGGCATTTTGGGATGTATAAGTAGGGGCATAGCGAGCAGATCGAGGGACGTGATCGTTCCCCTCTATTCGACATTGGTGAGGCCTCATCTGGAGTACTGTGTCCAGTTTTGGGCCCCACACTTCAAGAAGGATGTGGATAATTTGGAGAGAGTCCAGCGAAGGGCAACAAAAATGATTAGGGGTCTGGAACACATGAGTTATGAGGAGAGGCTGAGGGAGCTGGGATTGTTTAGCCTGCAGAAGAGAAGAATGAGGGGGGATTTGATAGCTGCTTTCAACTACCTGAAAGGGGGTTCCAAAGAGGATGGCTCCAGACTGTTCTCAATGGTAGCAGATGACAGAACGAGGAGTAATGGTCTCAAGTTGCAGTGGGGGAGGTTTAGATTGGATATTAGGAAAAACTTTTTCACTAAGAGGGTGGTGAAACACTGGAATGCGTTACCTAGGGAGGTGGTAGAATCTCCTTCCTTAGAGGTTTTTAAGGTCAGGCTTGACAAAGCCCTGGCTGGGATGATTTAACTGGGAATTGGTCCTGCTTCGAGCAGGGGGTTGGACTAGATGACCTTCTGGGGTCCCTTCCAACCGTTATATTCTATGATTCTATGAAATCCCAAGCAGGAACATCTCCACACAGCTGTTTTGAGCCCTGTAGACCAGGGCTCTGAGACTTGCTGCTGTGGGGTTTTTTTTCCCCAGTGTATATGTACCCTATTTGTCAGAGATCAGCTTAAACACTGAAGCATAAGCCATAATATCCCTTCCAGAATTGTTGTTATAAGTAACTATGCTAATTCTAGATATTCTGCTTATCCATAGAAATATCCAAACCCTCTTTGAATCTTGCTAAGTTCTTGGCCTTAATGATTCCATGTAGCAGTGGGTTCCACAGTCTGTCTACGCACTGTGTGAAGAAGTATCTCCTTTGATCAGGTTTTAACTTGTCACCTTTTCATTTCATTGACTATTCATTCCAGATCACGCTGCTTTTCATTGTGTGGTTTCCTCTATTCTCCATTTGTACGTTGTGTATTTAGATAGCAAGCTCTTCAGGGCAAGGACCGAGTCTTACAAGTTTTCATGGCTAGCACACTGTTGGCTTTGAATACTACAGTGGTGAGTGCTCCAGAATACAAGTAAACTCTGATGATCCCAACTCCAATTATCTGAAATGTGGATGATCTCACGCTTTGTCTATACTGCCGCTTACCGTGCTGAAACTTTCTTTGCTCAGGGGTGTGAAAAAACACCCCCCTGAGCGATGCAAGTTTCAGCGCTGTAAAGTGGCCATGTAGACAGTGCTACCGTGCTGATAGCTACTCCCCTCATGGGGGTGGTTTTGTTACAGTGCTGGGAGAGCTCTCTCCCAGCTCTGGAGACACGCGCGACTACACAGCCATGTTAAAGCGCTTTAATGTCGGCTGTGTAGACATACTGAAATTTAGAAACGTTTTCCAAGCCAGAATTTTATTTTTTGAAAAGTGTGATTGAAATTGATTTGCTGACATTACAGTTTCCGTTTGGCTAGCCCAGGTTTCCCTGTAAATGATAGATAGTTAATGATCTTAGTTTTCTATAGTTTTGTTCATTCAGAAGAGTCCCAAAGCTCTTTACAAATTACAGAAAGACTGGGCATACAGAAGTCGCTTCTTCCACCATTCATATGCAGCCACCTCTGGCGTGGAACACAGCAGTTGTTTAACAGCACACAGCAGCACTGTGCACCAATTTAGAACAGGAAGCAAAGATGTTATGTCTTAAATTGGAATTTGGCCAGGACACTTGGATTATTATCCCTGCTACTGTAGTGGGAGCATCAATGCCCATAGAGTGTGCTGTACCTGTTCTGGAGATAGACAGGCGGTTTACAAACATTACAAACATCAATAACTTCTTGGATTGCATGGGGGACTTTTAAAACTAGATGAGACAAAGCATTAGAAAATGTACCATAGAGAACAAATCTTCCCTGGTCTCAGGGAGACGGACTGGATAATCTAATAGGTCTTTTCCACCTCTTCTTTCGATGATTCAGATTCCCATTGACTTAAGTGGGTTTTGGATTAAGCTCCTAGAGGCAAGGGAGAAGAGACAGTTCCAGAGAGGGCTTTGTTTTTTGCAAACCACATTGTGTTCAAAAAACCTTATCTGGTAACAATCCAGAATTATGGCTAATCCATCACTGAGCACCCAGCGCATACCGAAAAGATTACTGCTTAAGCCCTTAATGTATTAGGACACTTTGTAAGCGTTGTTACTGGACTGAGTCGCAATGCTAGAACATAATTTGGACCTGCTGTAAATCAGCGGAGCTCCAGTGTGTTGTTTCGTAAGAAGAGGGCCATACGTCCCGGTTGGGGCAAGCTGGTGATTTGAACAGTGTAGAACAAGTCATTATCCTGCTCAGACTGTCCTGCTAATTTCAACAAGCCAGATCCTGAGAAGTGCTGCAGCTCCCACGAAACTAACATGAATTCTAGGGGCACAGCAGGATGCGGCCCATTCCTCAGGCGCCCAGATACCATGGTGATGGGCACCAATATAAGACCCTACATGGACAGATATGTATGTATGGAGATAGCTAGATCATTCTTGTGATTTATTTATTTCACATTCATCATCATCTACGTTGGGAATCCCTTGAAGTTGAGGATGATTGTCTTTCATGGATTGTCTATTTCAAAATATCTGTAGGTCCGCTGATGGCTGATAAGGCCTATTCTGGAGCTGCACTCTCTGCCTCATAGCAGACATGTTTCCGAGCAGGGCAGGTGACCCTGGGCTATTGGTTAGGGCCATAGCATGCTCTTTCTGTCACTTCTGTTTTTCCGTTACATGTAATCATATCTGATTCTCAAAGTGCTGAATTCCTTGCCTCAAGCAGTTCCTCCATTGTTGTCACTCCTGGGTTATACATTCCCACGAATGCAACCAACCAAACACATGCACGCTCTGGACTCCCCATTGTCTTGAGTGTTGTGTTGTCATTTACATCAATGCAAAGCAGGTTTAAAATGATACCGTTCCAATGCAGGGTAACCATCAACAAACCTGAGAGAGAGAGAGAGAGAGAGATGAAATTTGAAAGGGCAGCGAGGAGTAGATTGGATGTGAGATCAGATAGGTAGGATGGAACGAGTGTATCATACAATCTCCAAATGTTATTTCTTGCAACTTACACTAGGAGGAGCTACTGGCTCCAGCAAACTTGAAACTAGCTGAAACCCTGGCAAGTCAGGTTAGATTTAGTCCTGGTCTACACTACATGGTTAGGTCGACGTAAGCTGCCTTGTGTCGACCTAGCTGTGGAAGTGTCTTCACTTAAATTCGTGCTCGCTATGCCGATTTAGTTAAACCACCTCCCTAAGCAACGTAGAGTCACGGTCAATGTAATTAGGTCGATGCAGTGTTAGACACTGCGATACTTATGACAGGTTTCAGAGTAACAGCCGTGTTAGTCTGTATTCGCAAAAAGAAAAGGAGGACTTGTGGCACCTTAGAGACTAACCAATTTATTTGAGCATAAGCTTTTGTGAGCTACAGCTCACTTCATCGGATGCATACTGTGGAAAATACAGAAGATGTTTTTATACACACAAACCTGAAAAAATGGGTGTTTATCACTACAAAAGGTTTTCTCTCTGGAAATGGCCCACCTTGATTATCATACACATTGTAAGGAGAGTGATCACTTTAGATAAGTTATTACCAGCAGGAGAGTGGGGTGGGGGGAGAGAAAACCTTTTGTAGTGATAAACACCCATTTTTTCATGGTTTATGTGTATAAAAACATCTTCCGTATTTTCCACAGTATGCATCCGATGAAGTGAGCTGTAGCTTACGAAAGCTTATGCTCAGATAAATTGGTTAGTCTCTAAGGTGCCACAAGTACTCCTTTTCTTTTTGTGATACTTATGTCAACTGTTACTGGCTTTCAGGCGCTGTCTCACAATGCCCCACGCTGGCAATACAATTGATACAAGCGCTGCTGGTGACAACGCACACCACCAACACAAGGAGCCAAGTGTGTGCACACAAGTGCTTCAACAACTGCGGTGGATGTATGCCCTCATTAGGTCATCATAATTGTGTAGTGTAGACATGGCCTCAGATGCCAAAGTTTTCTCTACTTAACAGACCTTTAAAATGACCTTTCAGAAAAATGCCATGGAACTTCCTATGGTGTGAAAAACCCTGTAGGTTCCAAATTAAACTAAGCAGCAGTTAGATTCTCAGTACATATTTTAGCAACAAAGCAGATTAGCTGATAATTCATTAATCATGCATTTTCAGCTCAGTATTGTCAGTTTCTTCCAGGTATATTATTAATCTAGATTTATAACAAAGATGAGTTAATCATGTTAGGAGATCAGAAATGAATGCACCATGATAAAGTCATGCCTTGTGGAAAATGTTGAAAAACTTCCTCAGCAGAGACAATTCTGCTGAGATCTGAGATTTGGTTTATTTTTCCTTGTGGACCAAATTCATCTCTTGTGTTAGTGGATGCAACTGCTATTGACTTCAATGGGATTGAGTATATTTACACTCAGGGTGCGTTTGGCCAGTGGGTCTTTGTTCCTTAAATTGGGGTACATCTGCCCATTGGTCTTATTTCCCACTAGCAGTCAGAAATCTGTTTGTGCCATCACAGTTGGGCTGCGGGGGAATTTTAATATCAGAAGGGGAAGATGGGTTTTGACACCACTCAAAATGTACCAAGGGTCATAGTGGATTCCCCATCACTGGCAACTTTTTAATCAAGATTGGATGTTTTTCTAAAAGATCTGCTCTAGGAATTATTTTGGGGAAGTTCTCTGGCTGTGTAATCCAGGAGGTCAGACTAGATGATCACAAAGGTCCCCCCTGGCCTTGAAATATGAAGATGTGAAACCTGGTTTTGTGCCAAACTTCAGACTCAAATCAGCTTCCTTGAAAGTTTCCCACAACTTCTTAGCAAGACTGAACTCACATTAAAACACCAACAACAACAAAAACAGAGGCTGATTCATGGTCTTGCATTCAAACTTAGTGGTTTGGGCTGAGGTTTGCTTTATTGGTTAGGTCCCCACAGCTGAGTTACCTCCTGGCAGGATGACCATCCCTCCCATTTTTAAAGGGACAGTCCAGTTTTTGGGGACTTTTTCTTATATCGGCGCCTATTACCCTCTACCCCCGTCCCATTTTTTCACAATTGCTATCTGGTTACCCTACCTCCTGGGAGTGGGATGCTGAGATAATTAATTAATGTTTGTACAGTGTTTTGAGATTTTTGGATGGAAGGCACCATGGCAGGGCATAGAATTCTTGTGAATGACCCTGTTTAAATGCAAACAGCTTTAGCAACAATAAAACAAGGAAAAGGGAAAATGGGAGATATCAATCAGTGGAGCTGGTTCTAAAGAGCTCCTGTTTTGATTTCAGTCTTTATCCCCAAGATACAGTTTCAAAGCAAAAACCAAGAGCACATCAGGGAAATCAAGTGAGCCAGGTATAAACAATCAGTAACACTAGGAGGTATCAGGTCACAACTGCTCTCAGAATAATTAGGCAATTTGCCAGCTTGCTTCAACAGACCGTCTGAGATTATATTTCCTCTTGACCAAGGTCTGAAGCTGAAGGCCAGGTTTGGTCAGTGGAGTTACATCTGCTCATTCCAGCTATGTGATTCTCTCAGGCTTTGCACCACACATCACCATTGACACCTGTGCCAAGCGAGTGTGAAGTGCAATCAAATTGGGACAGTAGTGTTTTACGCTTACGTTGTACAGGTGTAACCAGTGAGGCACAGTATGAGATGGGGAGTTTTTGCTGTGTCTCTTTGTGCTCTGTTGATGATTTGTTGGGTCATGAGTGGTCCCCATTTTGTATCCTTCCACCAGCAGTGTTTCCAACTCTTGCCTTTATCTTTCTTGCTGCTGCACGGATCTCAGTGGTATTTTACGTCAAGCCTTGCAGCTCTTAAAGCCCCACTTGCTGGAGTTATGTGATTACATAACAGAGAATCTCTTTGCTTTCATTTTTTAAAAAAGGCCAGTGTTGCCCCTTTTGACCAAACTTGCTAGTCACTGCTTAGGGCCCTGTGGGTGTTCCAGTGGAGAGTAGAAATTGGAGCTAGGTATTTCTGTGATGCAGTTTTGCTTATTTACAAGGAATATACCAAGTCCTATGCTTCTGAATGCAGAGGGAGTCAAATAGCAAGAAACAGCTTCTGTTGCTCATAGCACCAAGCACGAGCTTTTCAGCCTGCACTTCTGACCCAAAAAACCTCTCCCCAGGTTTCTTCTGGGGTCAGCCACATGCTTTCAGCTGTTCATTCCTCCAGGTTAGCTTCTAGTTCTCTCCTCTGTCTGGTCTCAGTTTCTGTGTGTTCTCTTCCCCCCAATACCCAGGTGAACTCAGTAGGTGCTGCTAGTCTCTAGGTAGCCTTCATTAGGGTTTGTTTTAAGTATGGCCCCCACTCTCTCTTAGCTTAAATGGGCAATTTATTCACACTTTTGACTCATCCCATAACAAAGTTTCACCTGCCCCAGCTCATAATAAGAGTAGGTTTCTAGTCCTCGTGGCTGCAGAGAAAAGCTGGAAATCACAATGTCTTAAGTCTCAAAAACCAGATGGCCAATCATTGATTATTTTTTATATTATCATGATTTTATATCAAGCTGGTCTTGTGGGTTTTTTTGCGGGGTGGAGCTGACTATGACTGTCGGGTGCTGGGGGCTGGCAATAGTGTCCCAGGGCTCCAGTGGCTGTCATTGTGGCAGCAGGAAGTCACTTGTCTCTATGGTGAGAACTGCCAGTGGCAGGGGGCTGGTTTCCAGTGGCGTGGATGGGATTTCTCACAGGGGCAAAAGATGTTGTGCCCCCAGGGACCTTGGGTTGGGTGCCTCTCACAAGCTACGTAGGGCTAATCTGGGTCAGCATGTGGAGGGGAGACCCCATATTAGGCTGACTAGATGTCCTGATTTTATAGGAACCGTCCTGACTTTTGGGTCTTTTTCTTATATAGGCTCCTATTACCCCCCACCCCCATCCCGATTTTTCACATTTGCTGTCTGGTCACCCTACCCCCTATAGAACCCTGACCTAAGCAGGTGTGCAGATCCCCACAAGCCCCGCCCAGCTTCCATCGATCTCTCAGTGCTCGATCGTTCTCCCCTGGCCGCTCCTCCCGCCTCGATCTCTCGGCGCTCCGCTCCGCGCCGGGACGGGCTGATTTCTCTCGGCCTGCGCTCGCTCTCCCCTGGGCCAGGCCGGAGCAGTCGCTCGGCGGCGGCGGAGCGGGATGAGCCTGGCGGGGGGTAGGGCGCCGCGCCGCACGGCGGGGAACCGGCTGGCGGGGCTGCTGAATGCCGAGGAGGATGAGTTCTACCAGACCACCTACGGGGGCTTCACGGAGGTGGGGCGAGCAGGAGGGTGGTCTTGGAGAGGGAGCCGAGGCCCGGGGGAGGGGGCTGTGAGGGGGCCCGGAAGGGCGGGGGGGGGCAGAGGCCCGGGGGAGGGGCACCGGGAGGGGCAGAGGCCCGGGGAAGGGGCACCGGGAGGGCGCGGGGGGAGGGGCAGAGGCCCGGGGAAGGGGCACCGGGAGGGCGCGGGGGGAGGGGCAGAGGCCCGGGGGAGGGGCACCGGGAGGGTGCGGGGGGAGGGGCAGAGGCCCGGGGAAGGGGCACCGGGAGGGCGCGGGGGGAGGGGCAGAGGCGCGGGGGAGGGGCACCGGGAGGGCGCGGGGGGAGGGGCAGAGGCTCGGGGGAGGGGCACCGGGAGGGCCCGGGGGGGGCACCGGGGGAGGGGCAGAGGCCCGGGGGAGGGGGCTGTGAGGGGCCCCGGGAGGGCAGCGTGGGGGGAATCGCTCCCTTGGGGAGCAGAGTTGGGGGGTGGGGGAGTGCAGCAAGGCCCTGTGGAGGCTGAGTTGGGGGGCTGTGGGCTACTTGGAGGACAGCTGTGATTTGGGTGGGGGCACGAGGCAGAGCGGGACTCCCAAAGGGGCAGTGGGATCTGGTCAGCCGTGACTGTCGTTTGCCCCCCTCTCCTGGGCAGGAGTCGGGAGATGACGAGTACAAAGGCGACCAGTCGGACAGTGACGACGAAGTGGACTCTGACTTTGACATTGACGAGGGCGACGAGCCGGCCAGTGACCAGGACGATGACGAGCCCAGGAGGAAACGCAGGGTGGTCACCAAGGCTTACAAGGTAAGGATGGAGCAGCTGGTTGTGGTGCTGGGAGACCCAGCCTCTGATTCTGTATTGGGGTAGTACCTAAGAACACCCACTAGTCATAGACCAGGACCCCAGTGTGCTGGGTGCTGTATGGACAGTGAAGAAAATGGTGGTCTCTGCCCCAAAGAGCTTCCAATTGAAGTACAAGACAGGAGACACTAGGTGGATACAGACAGGGGCGCACAAGGAAACAACAAAACAACCGCAGTCAGCATGACGTGCCGTGGTCTCAACGCACCAGTTGTCTAATTGCTGTTTCTGATATAGCCCTGTTGGGCTGGGGGAGGGACCCACATGAAAGCTGCTGCCAAAACTCTTAGTACAACCAGATTGTAATCTAGTGTAGGGGGTAGCCGGGGAGTTCACAGCAATTCCATGTATAGGCTGTTTCATTTATGATCTTGGCAGCAGCAGAGCCCTGAAAGCATTTTCAATTAGTGTGTTTCAGGAGTGGGAGTGCAGGCTCATGGGCAGGACTCCTGGGTTCTATTTCCAGCTCTGGGATGGAGTGTGGCCTCATGTTTATCCAGAAGATGGGCAGTCAGAACTCATGGGTTCTATTGCTGGCTCTTGGAGGGAGTGATGTCTAGTGATTAGAAACTGACCATAATAAACAGACTGCAGCAATGGTCAAAGTAAATCAAAGATTGAAAATGTTCTTTCTGTAATCAAAGGTGTAACTAGTAATACAGGCAAAGCACTTTTCTTTTTAAAGGCGTTTATGTTGGCAGGGGCCCTCTTGCAAAAACAAGCTGCAAAATCCCTTGTGGCTCTTTATTTAAATGGGGTTGAACTCTCCAAAGCAGCATTAAATAGCAAGCCCCCAGGAGGTTCTTTTTTTTCCTCACATCAGCTCTTATCTGAACCTACTAGGAGCCCATCAAAAGCCTGAGACCCAAGAAGCCCGATACGGCTTCCAGCAGCTCCCAGAAGGCGCGAGAGGAGAAGTCTGCGCCCCTGGAACTCCAGGATGAAGTGGGAGACAGTAAGTGTGGCTGATGCTCATTAGGATCAAATGTGTTGCCTTTAGGTGAGACGAAAAACTGGTTTCTGAAGGTTTTCTCGAAGCTTCTGCATTGATTTGCAGGGCAGAGGTTTGATTCAAAGTTATTCAACTACAACTGCTGGGCTGAGCTATGATCCACAGACAGGGAGGAATCATCGTGGGGCTGCTATGCTGGTTTCTTGGTAGCTACGCTGTCTCTGCCCGCCATACCCAGTGTCCTGACTTTCCCTCCCACTCCTTGGGCTTACAGGCCGCAAGTACATGCGCCAGTCGACTACGGAGCACACACGCCAGACCTTCCTGCGTGTCCAGGAGCGTCAGGTGCAGTCGAAGCGCAAGAAGGGGGGGCAGAACTATGACAGGCCGCTGACGCAGGAGGAGCTGCTGGAGGAGGCCAAGATCACAGAGGAGATTAATCTGCGGTCTCTGGGTGAGTGACATGGGTAGGAGGCCCTGGGAAACACACAGGCTCTTCACTCAGGGTGGCAGCAGGAGCCTGGCGCACCAGTCAGGGCTGTACTGCTCTACTGGAGACAACATGATCTGATGGGGGTTACGATTCCCAACCTTGTCCTCTGCCTAAGTTCTAGTGTCAGTTTTGGAAGGGTGTATTATCTCCCAGCTAGAACAGGGGACCTGGAGCCAGGACTCCGGGGTTCTGTTCCCAGTTCTTGAATGAGAGTGGAGTCTAGTGGTTAGAGCAGTGTGGGCGTGGAATCTGGACTCCTGGATTTTATTTCCAGCTCTACCAAGGGCCATTCATTTCAGCTCCGTGTGCCTTGGTTTCCCCAACTGTAAGCGTGGATAATGCTACCCAAGCATTAGTTCTGTGGATGATATATAGACGTGCCTAGGCACCTCCGCTCACCGTCATGAATGGTTCAGAATTATAGGCATAACACAGGAGGTCTCTGGCTCATTCAGTTACTAGCCACCCCTTATGGGAGCCTGTGTGCCCCTCCTTGGTTCTCCGAGCACCAGGAAGGAGTTTACAGACCATTGGTGACCTGCGACCTGTACTCTGAGAGCTTCTGGTGTGGCACAGATCTCTCTGTCGAAATGCTGGAGTCACAGTCACAGTTAATGGCTCTTGCAGTGGTTCCATGGGGTACCTCCCAGTGTGAGGTAAAGAGCTCAGAGCTCTGAAGGCAGTAGAGCGGGCTCAGTAGCCGGACAATTGACTGGTGGTCTTCTCTGAGCTGCCCCATCGTTCCAAGCCCTGCTCTGTTCACCCTCGGTTCAATCGCCCTTGCAGAAACCTACGAGCGGCTGGAAGCTGACAAGAGGAAGCATGTGCAGAAGAAGCGGAAGTGCGTGGGGCCGGTGATCCGCTACTACTCGGGGACCATGCCGCTGATCACTGACCTCGGGGTGAAGGAGGAGAACGTGGATGTGGAAGGGTAGGTGTTGGGGATTGTATTTATTCCTCCCATCTCCCTAGCCTGAACTCTGGCCCCTCGGGATGGGCTACCAACTCCCTCCTAGGTCTCACTGTCCCTGCTGACTCCTACACTCTGGCTGGCAGGTGCCAACCCCACTTCCTAGGGGATTCCCCTGAGCCAGCTCGTGGGAGACGTCAGCCCCATCTTGCAGACCCCAGCCACTCAGTCAGTTCTCTTCGGCGTCCCAGCCTTCAGCTGCTTCTCTGAACTGGATCCTGAGTCCCAACAGCCACCAAGTTCTTCTTCGTCAGCAGCACGAGTGTGATCTGGATCCCTCGAGGTGGCAGGTGTTTGGGCCCTGGTTAGTCTCCGGCTGAGGACATGGGGCCAGTTGTGGAATTCCCACCTGGACCTAGCTTGAGTTTCAAACACAGCTCAGGCCCATGCTGATCCCTTGCTCCTCCGGTACTCCAAGGGTATCCCAGGTGGGGCTGGTAGGATTAGAACTCAGGCTTGGACAAAGCAGGGCCATGCCTCCTTTTGCTAGAACCTGCTGCCCCAAGATGGGATTTGTGTGGGGTTTGCACCCTGACTTATGTGGAGGTTGCCTGGAGATCTTTACTGAGCACAAGTGCCTGGTACATGCTTTGTCTCCCCTCCCCCGCACCTCCCAAAAGCCCCGTGCGTCCTTGTGCCCCCTCATCCCCAGAGCCCTGGATGTTCTTATTCCCGCTGTTGCGTTTGAAGCTTGAGCTGATTCCTGTGTTTTCTCCCCACCCCCAGGTTGGATCAAGACACGCAGCAAACGGCAGAGGCTCCCCAGGCTTCCGCCTCCCAGGCTGGCAAATGCTCTCGCACCTTCATCACCTTCAGCGACGACGAGACCTTTGAGCGCTTCTTCCCTAAGGCCAAGCAGCCCAAGCTGCCCGTGAAGGAGATCTGCCCCGTCACGCACAAGCCGGCCGTCTACCGGGACCCCATCACCGACATCCCCTACTCCAACATCCGGGCCTTCAAAATCATCCGTGAGGCCTACAAGAAATACATCACTGCCCATGGGCTGCCCAACGCGGCAGCTTCCGCGGCCCTGGGGGCAGGGCCGCCCGCAACGGACCCAAATGTCCGGGCGACCAGGCAGAAAATCATCATCAAACAAACCGTCCCGGCCACATAAAGCCCAGGAGTGGTTGTTCCCTTTCCAGGAGGGAACTTCTTAAAGGGACACAGGCACATTTGGGTGGCTCAGTATTGACCCGCCCCTTCTTCTACGTCCCTGTGTATCTTTCTTTCAAACTCAAACAGGTGGTGGTTCATTGCTCTTTATTTATTATTTTATTTTTTAATAAAAAAAGCAATGCCTGCAGCAGTCCCACCAGAACAAACCAGCACGCAGAGCCCCGCCCTCGCAGGAGACCCCTACAACAGCCAAACCAGCGCGCACAGCCCCGCCCTCGCAGGAAACCCCTACAACCGCCAAACCAGCGCGCAGAGCCCCGCCCTCGCAGGAGACCCCTACAACAGCCAAACCAGCGCGCAGAGCCCCGCCCTCGCAGGAGACCCCTACAACTGCCAAACCAGCGCGCAGAGCCCCGCCCTCGCAGGAGACCCCTACAACCGCCAAACCAGCGCGCAGAGCCCCGCCCTCGCAGGAGACCCCTACAACCACCAAACCAGCGCGCAGAGCCCCGCCCTCGCAGGAGACCCCTACAACCACCAAACCAGCGCGCACTGGTGGAGCTATGCAGTGGGTGGGATCACTTCTGCTGGAAGGAGGCAGGATGGATTTTAAGCTCGGGAATGGTGCCTGTTTAACAATTTAGAAAGATAATAAAGTGACAGGACAGACGCTGTCTGCACAGTTCGGCTCACTGTGGGGAGGGGAGGAGCTGGTGAAAGAGGCTGGATTCTGCGGCAGCCTGATGTCCCGTCTCGCTGATCGCCGCAGGGGCAGTGCCCAGCGCCCTGGAGAGCGTCAGGCCCCGGGTGACGTTCAGTTGGTTCTAGCCGAGGCTGCCGGCAGCGTGAAGCTCCCGTTGCAGCAGCCAGAGGCATGAGGAGCGGTTTGTGCTGAAACCCTGACTCGTGGCACCGACTGGAGCCTTGGCAGGGCTGTAAAGTGCAGGCGGTTCCGTGACTCACGTTAGTTGGTGTCTGCCTCCTGCTCGTGCTCCCGTGAGGCTCCGCCAGCCTGCAGGGCTCTGATAAGTGTTGTCAGTAACGCCCCTGGGAGGGAGGTCCAGAGCAGCGTTTTATTCCTCGGGATTGTCCGGCATCCTTGCCAGCCCGGCTGCTTCAATGAGGAGAGAAGGGAAATAAAAGAACCCACCGTTCCAGGGGTGATTTCCTCAGTTGCCCTCCCTGCCCCTGCCCATCCGCTTCCCTACTTATGCCCGTGGCCAGCTTGATCCCTGCCCCCTCTCTACTCATCTGGTTTTAAATGTCTCAGGCACTGGGGCTTCCGCACCTTGGGGGATGAGGCTGCAGCTCCAGAGAGCTTGTTAACAAGCCATTCCTGAGTTTCAGCTTAAATTTCTCTCTCGCTCCTTGTTATCCCCCAAGCAATTCTTCCTCCTTGCAGCTGGCTAGCATTGTACCCCCATCCCCTGCCAAAGGGTACAGCTTAGTTCTGCCTGTCAAGTGTCTTATCCAGTCCCATCCCCAAAGTATCTGAATGCTTTGCCTACAGTCATGTATTGATCCTCCCAGGGATTTAACATTGTCCTCATATTCCCCAGATGGGGAAACTGAGGCATGAGGTCTCATGCTACCCCAAGGAATCAGAGCTGGGAATTGAATCCAGATCTCAAGTCCCAGTCAAGTGCCTTAACTGCAAACTCATCCTTCTTTCCTTACCCCACATCTCCATTAAGCTGTCTTCATAAATTAGCCCCCCACCCCCTTTCTCTAATTCAGTTGAATAGATTACAGGCCAGAAGGGACCTTTATTAGTTGTATTACGGTAACAGATGGGTGGCGTAGTCATGGACCAGGCCCCCATCCTGCTGGGTGCTGTATGTTCTTTGTTAGGTGTATTATGGTAGCAGCTGGGACCCCCCCCCAGTCACGCACCGGCTGTCCACTGTGCTAGGTGAGGTACAATCACATCAAAGAGATGATCCCTGCCTCACAGAGCTCTCAGTCTAATCCAGGCTGCAGAATTTCTCTTGCATGTCTGATCCTGAGCTAAAGCTGGGATTCCCAGTGCGGTTGCATTGGATCTGGAGCGAGAGGGGTCCTCTCTTCTCAGCTCTGCCAGGATGCCTGTGTGGCTGGCTCTCATTCCTGCTGCTAAGGCCTCCTCCATGCCCTGGCCTCCTCCATGCCCTCGCCACCTGCAAAGCAAATCAGGGGCAACCGAGAGCTGCCCCCCTTCATGTGTCAATTCTGGCATTTGACCACTGGGGGTCTGCAGGGCTCTGGGAAAACCGGCTGGGCAGTTGAGTGATTGATAACCAGCCTGTCTATGTGATCTCGCCCTCCCACCCTCCCCTTTGCCCAGCTGGAGCTAAAATAATAATATGCTGATCTCACACACTTCGCTGGCGGTATCCCTTGCCTCAGCACTGCGCTGCGGCTACTTTCACCCAGCCTGGAAAGGCAGCGTCCTGGACTGCCAGGGGAAGGTAAGCTGGAAGCCTTGCTCCCGGGCGGTAGGTTTCTCCTTGGGGCGCGAGGCTGGTCTAATCACAAAGCTAATATTCTAAGCGGCTTGCCAAAGGGGCGCGGGGCTGGCTTGCCCTTTTCGGCCATTGCTCATTGGGCTGTGGATTCTCACCTCAGGCTTGCATTGAAGGGGACAGGCTGCCCATGTGGGATCAGTGCCTGCTTTTCTGTGGGCTGTAGGGCACGTGTTCCTCTTGCAGGTAGGTGAAGGCACCCTTCCCTGGTGCGCTGAGAGACCTTCTCTGCTTGGGATATCCACTGCTTGTACTTGACCCTCCGGGTAAACAGCTTTGTCTCCTATTATGGCTCCGTGCACGATCCTCATGCTTTCGGCTACTAGGCCTGCTTTTCCCCCACCAAAAGAATATAAAAAGCATGACAGGGCTACGATGTGGATCCTCCTACGCAGCCCAGAGTACTGTATAAATGGTACAGACTCATACGGGTCGGTTTGACTAGCGCTGAAATGTGGCCACCTCTGGGGAGGGCTGCAGCAGCTGATATAATCGTCTAGGCCAGGGCCCGCGTACCGTAACTGCAGGAGGAATATTAGGTAGGCAACATCGCAATTCCCAGGCTGGGACTCTGGGGCTAACATCCGCTGAAGCACTAGGGGATCTTTAGTGATGGGGGCTCGTGTGTGTTACACCTGCCACACAGCCCTCCCTAGTGCCCCGTGCTGACCCAATATGAGCGCGCCACCTAGCGAATCCTCCAGCACTGCTTCCGGCAGATCTGGGTGGGCGCTCGGAGGTCTCCTATCCAGCTTACCCACCCAGCCTGCCCCTACTCGCCTCTGAAACCTAGTTTGATCCCAGCACCAGGTGGCACAACTGCAGACCGAGTTGCTTGGAATAAAACAAGAGGACCGTCAGGTTTTGCCCTGGGGAAAGGCCAAAGGGCTATTGCCAGATTCCCAGAGCCCTCCAGGACATTGTGCCCTTGCTTTGTAGTCAGAAGCCAGCTTCGCCCCGGTAAGGCTGCAGCTACATGTGAGCACCTGGCCGCTGTGATCTCAGCAGAGCAAGGTCAGGCAGAGTCGGGCCCAGCAGAGAGCACGTGGCCGCAGGGGCTGTTAGAAAGGCTTTTTTGACCGGAGCTGGTGTCTGGCTGCCGCTTTAACATGCTAATGGGTAATAATATAAATAATTCCCTCTGTGGCAGGTCCCCTGGGTGGCTGTCTCTGGCCTGTGTTAGACAGGAGGTTAGACTAACCGATCAGAGCGACTCCGTCAGGCCTTAGCGGCAGTGGGCTTGATTCTGATCGCCCATATGCTGGTAAATGGAGAGTAACTGCACTGAAGACTGGTGTGAGATCAGAATCCCTCCTGGTGGCTCTGTGGCAATGTTATCCCTGTGCCCTGGCCAGCCCTGTCTGCTTATGTAGTTAGCTCATGACTCCCAGAGTGCCCATCACCGTGGGGGCTGGGCCCTGCACCAATGAGCTTACAAGCAACAGACGGCAGGGTGCAGGGCTTGAGCGGGTGAACAGTCTGTAGACGCTCCCCTTAACACTGCCAGAGCTGGGTACAAGGGCCTGAGGACAGAGGTGTCGACTTCCCCAGTTCCCAGAGGGTGCTCGACCCCCGCTCTGCCCCGGGCCCTGCCCTCACTCCACACCCCTTCCCCAAATCCCCCACCCCTTCCCGTCCCAGCCCTTCCCCCAACCCCCCCCCCTCGCACCTCCTGAACACTGCTGAACAGCTGATCACGGTGGGTGGCAGGCACTGGGAGGGAGGGGGAGGAGCTGATTGGCGGGCCGCTGGCGGGTGGGAAGGGGAGGAGCTGATCCGTGGGGCTGCCGGTGGGTGCTGAACACCGACTATTTTTTCCCCATGGGTGCTCCAGCCCCAGAGCACTCAGGGAGTCGGCGCCGATGCCTGAGGGTGAATGCGACTCAGGCCCATTCTTGAAGATGCTTCCTAGCTGAGCATCTCAAAGCACCTCTCATTGTACTGATGGAGGAAACCATGGGGCTGTCTACCCTCGGAGTTCATAGATTCATAGATGCCAAGGCCAGAAGGGATCATGGGGATCATCTAGTGAGACCACCTCTGTAACACAGGCCAGAGACCTGCCCCAAAGGAATTCCTAGCGCAGAGCTGTTAGAAAAACATCCAGTCTTGTTTGAAGCATGGTCAGTGACGGAGAATCCACCATGACCCTTGGGAAATTGTTCCAGCGGCTAATTACTCTCCAGGTTAAAACATGCACCTTATTTCCAGTCCGAATGTGTCTAGCTTCAATTTCCAGCCATTGGATCGTGTTTGGCTTTTCTCTGCTCCTGTAAAGAGTCTATTATTCAATACTTGTTCCCCATGTAGGTATTCCCAGAGTGGGATCAAGTCCCACCTTAGTCTTCTCTTGGTTAAGCTAAATGGACTGAGCTCCTGGAGTCTCTTGCTGTAAAGCAGGTTTTCGAATCCTTTAATCCTCCTCGCAGCTCTTCTCTGACCCCTCTCCGATTGGTCAGCCCTGTGGGAGCCCCAAGACAGCTCCGGAAAACCCACCGCACCGTGTAGCACTTTGCTCAGTGACTATTTAAGGCCCGTTTCTCTGCCCTGTTTCAGACCCCGCTCCAGCAGGGATGGGACGGGGCGGCCGTCCCACCTGTTCTACAGCTGCCAGCTGCCACCGCTCTCCGAACAAGCATCAGGGACATGGCACTGGGCGCCAGGCTGACCCGTGTCAAGCCAGGTTGGCAGATTCCTGGAGCAGCTGTCTCAGCAGTTTTGATCAGTTGAAGGGCGGATGGTGCTGGCTGTGTCACTCCTTCATCTGCCCTTTAGGTTTAGCCCCCAGCGCCCCTTCTGTGCCCAGCAACCCCCTTCAATCCCTGGCCTACCCTCCTCATGCCTGGAGCCTCCTCCACCCCCAGCATGACACCCGTCCGTCCCCAGGGCGTCCATTCCCTCCCCAGCTCCATCTTTATCTCAGTGCAGCTGCCCTCCCCCTGCCACCCTTAGCCCAGCCCCACCACCATCCCTGTCCCGCTCTTGGCTGCGTTCCCCTTCCAGCATGGACCTGTGGCCCCCAATGGACACTCTGGTCCCCTCCAGGGGCACCCTCTGCATCCTCCCACCCTGCTCAGCGCGTCTGCGTCAGACTTGCTCCCTTATCGGCCAGTGCCGATGGCTGTGGGGCTGGGACGAGCCCTGGGTGGGGCTGTGGGGTCTCTGATAA